GCTAAAATACCCACTTGTGATTCTGTTCCTGATTTGAGCCACAGTTTTATTGATGTTTTGTGGCATATATTTTGAGAGTATATTCATATTAAAGCTTGCAAATCCAGCATCGCCTGTCTCTGGTTTGCCTGCTGCTTCATCCCCAGGACTCCGTCTTACATTCCTAATTACGCTGCTCACGGTGATCAGAAGCATCTGACCTCTTTTGGTTCTGCTCTGGTGAGGACTGTCTTCTGTCATGGCTTTGTGCACACGTGTTTCATTGTTGTCTCTTGTAAGGGTGATAGAGCTATTTTACTTTATCACTCAGTTTTAGCTTTGATTTGCAGTATAACTACTGATGACATCGGTTGTTTCTCTGTTGCTCAATCGATTGTTTCATAACTGGCCCTTCTGCCTCCTAGTTTGCTTCACTCCCTGGGCCCTGAGGAGACGTGGCTGCCGCCTGATCGCTGGCTCTGCCGGGTGGCACGACCTCTGCCAGCGCTACTTGTGGCCGTGCAAGGGCGGCGAGGAGCTCATTTGCGCTGCTTTTAGGGTCTTTTCTTGTCTTCTTCTTAGCAGACCTATTCTAACTCGCTGGTCAAGGTTAAGGGCATGCTTTTCAGAGTTAGTTGAGGCTCTACCTTGATGTCTGCTGTCACGTTGAAAGCCCGCGGCGGCAGTCTCACAGGTATTTCCCATGTGCTGCTTCTTCACTGCTCCTCCGAGACAAGGCATATAGACACTTCGTGCATCCTCTTGATTGTCCACCTCTTTCTGCCTCAGCTGGTGCGTTTGCTCCTAATCTGTCTTCCAGTTCACAACCACTATATTGAGTTAATTTCAGGTTTTTCTTTTTCTTTTTTTCTTTGTGGTACTGGGGCTTGAACTCAGGAACAAGCATTTGCCAGGCAGGCACTTAAGCCACTGAGCTATGTCCCTGACCCTTATTTATTTTTCAATTATTAAGTTTCTAATTGATACTTTGTTAGATTCAAATTTTAGGCCAAAATTCGTGATCTCTTCATGTTTCTCGGACATGTGTCCTGCCAGACAGTACAGTTCTCACCTGTATCAGCAGGGACCGTGTCCTGCTCATTCTTATGGGGATCTTGTGGCTCGGGCCATAGGGTGCTACCCCTGGACCCT